AGAGTTATGGCTTACTCCCATTTCTCATGTATTCTTTCCAATATTTAACACTTTTTATACGTCTGTCTGTTTTTCTCCCCACAATTAGAGTTATGGCTTACTCCCATTTCTCATGTATTCTTTCCAATATTTAACACTTTTTATACGTCTGTCTGTTTTTCTCCCCACAATTAGAGTTATGGCTTACTCCCATTTCTCATGTATTCTTTCCAATATTTAACACTTTTTATACGTCTGTCTGTTTTTCTCCCCACAATTAGAGTCATGGCTTACTTCCATTTCTCACTCCTCCACCTCTTTTGAGTAACCATACAGGCAAAAATGTTTCCAAATTACTTATTGCAAACCGTCCTTGCCGATTCGGAAAAATGTACTCGTGTGTCATTACCTTCATTTGCAGGCTTGAGATGTGATAACCTGAGAAGATCTTTATGACACCAGCCATTTTTCTTCTTGTATGCCGTCACCGCTAAAGCAATATCCATGTCATTCTTCCCATTGTACCACACGGAAACAGCTTTTCTCAGGGCCCGGCCCCACATGCCACAATTCATGCCTTCCTTCAGATCCTTTTTAAACTGGATGAAAGTGAAGAGGTGGGTTGGGGTGTGACAAATGTCAGGCACAGCCCTATAAGCTTCTTGTTTTGTTTTGGCATCGGAACATTGTGAGCAAATGGCGAGCGCAAACAATAGTGGATCCTGTTTTGCCGCTCTTCCTTCCTGGCTGAAGGTCTTTATTTCTTGCACCGCTTCGTAACCTTTGCCGCCTTCAATAAGCCTCAAAAGGGCATCTACGCTTTCAAAGCTCAATTTCTGTTCCTTGACGTAGAAGGCGCCTCCTTCGGAACCAAAGCACAAGAAACGGCGCAGTCGGGTCAGGTCTGTAACTTGCCACCCGCATTCCTCTTCGGAGTTTGAGAGCTGGTTTTCATGGCAAGGCTGCGTTTGACTTGCTCCTCCCTCCATTGCTTCTCAGTGTAACGAAGCCTCCTGAAGAAACACAACAAAGATCATTTCGTCCATCTGGGATCCTGACTTGATGGTCAGCTTTATTAGCACAATTACTCAAAACATTTCTTTCAAAACAAATTTGGCAACTTTTTAGGAAAAAGATGTTCAAACTTCAACGAAAACCTTCAGAATGAGAATCTTTTACATACGAAATATAGTACATATAGTAAGTATTAAGAGATTATCTACATTTCCAAAATATTCATTGACATTCTAAAAAAAAAATCCCTAAATGAACCAATTTTCTCAACGCTAGTGAGTCAATACTTTATTTCTTTCAGTCCCAGATGAAGTTTTATAACACGGAAGGACAACGGATTCCGCTGAATAAAAAGAATATTTTGCATTTTTTTAAAAGAAAAAGTAATTTCATAATTTCTTATATATTCCTATGATGGTCTATGTAATTAGACGTTACTGTATTTTTCTGTGTATGAGACACACTCCCCCCCCACTCCCCCCTCCATGTGGGTGGACATGTCTGTGCGTCTTATTGAGCAAATGTTGCTGAAGCCCCGCCCACACACCGGCCCCCACCCTTTGTCCTCTGCCTCCCAGCAATTTGCCTCCTTGCAGCAAGCAGCAAACAGCCTGGTCAGCTTCAGCACAGCCTGATTTAGCACAAGGAGCTGATTGGTGGTTGGATCTGTCTCCCGGAATACCACTTATCAGCTGTTCCAGGCTGCGGGGATCAACACCTATTACCGCCTCCCCACACCCCACTTTTGGCCTCTGTGCGCCCCATTTTTGGCCTCCGTACATCCCGTTTTCATCTCTGTCCAGGTTGCCTATCCTCGTCTCCTGGAATGGGCCAAAAATGGGGCATGCAGAGGAAAATTGCTGGGAGGCAGAGGCAGATTTTTTTTTCCTCCCCAAAAGTTAGCTGCGTCTTATAATCTGGAGCATTTTATATTCTGAAAAATATGGCATTCTGCCATTATAAGCATAACCACTGTATTTGAACCCAGAGACCAAAATATTTAGGCAACTATATTAAATCCATGCCTCCAATGCATTTCTACTAAGCAATTAAGGTTTGATAATTTCAAGTTGCATTATTTTTTTCCTTACGTAATATATTATTTGAAGATAATTTTCTATTTAATTTACATTACAAAACAATAATTCTGATTGTTAACATGTAATTATTGCTTCAGTTAAATGTTATATCCTATCTGAAATATAATGCTCTTAGGATTTACAATGCTGTTTTTAAAAATAAATTGTATAAATGTGCTAATGAAATTCCACACAAATATACATTTTATTATTTGAAATTGAAAAACCAGTTCCACACAACATAGTAAAATATTTTGAGAAGTAAAATATTAGCACAATTTCTAAATTAAAAAGGCTCTCTCAAGAGCAACAAGAATAATATAATCAGATGTGCAATTTGGATAAATGATGTAATTATTTTTTATAAAATTTCTAACTAGTTTTCAGTGATGAAATCACCTGAAATTGGAAATACCATAAATTAAAACAAATATTTCCTTATTAAAAAATAAAAAAGCTTAAAATCTTGTAACATTCCCCAGAAGTCAATATAAAATGGGCAAAATATTTTAAATGAATATAGTTCAGAATCAACAAAATATATTTTGTGCCAAATCTTCACAGAGAAAACAGATATGAATGAACCTAGACTTTGCAACAGGCACAGTATGTAGAATATCTCCTCCAGGACTCAAACTCGGCTATCACACTTGCAGTAGCAAAATTCTGTGCAGCTACAATGACAAGGAAAATCCGGTTACAGAATTAAAGACGTTTACTGCACCAATTTCTTGTAGGTATCTCTAACAACTTTTTGAAAATCTATATTTACACACATACTTATCCACTCTCCCATCATGTAACCCAGGGCAAGAGCCATACTGTTTGATACCATGTTTTTATATTATTATTGATGTTATTATTTATTATTATTATTAGTAATATATTTTAACACTATTGTAAGTGTGACATGAGTGCAGGATACAATGCATTGCAGTTTTTCATTTGTATCCCACCATTTTCCAATTTGTCCAAAGTGTTGTATCTGAGCTTATTCAATGTTGTCTTGCATAGTAATGCTGTGGAAGAAACTGAACAAAAACAGCAATTTATTAGATCCCACTCAACGCATTCCACAGTTGAGATTCAGTTCAAAGTTAACATTTCCTGTGATGGTTTGGGCTAAAGAACCTTTGGGACAGATTGTTAAGGCTGAAATCCATGATAGAGCAAAGAACGCCACTGAAGATAGAAAGAATGCATGTTTCTACTCAATGTAATCAGGTAATTACAGGTAGTCCTCGTCTTACAGCAGTACATTTGATGACCGTTTGAAGTTACAATGGCACTGAAAAAAGTGACAGGATCATTTTTCACATTGCAGCATCTCCATGGTCACATGATTTATATTTGGATGTTTAACTACTAACTCACATTTATGACCGTTGCAGTGTCCCAGGGCCATCTGCTCTCCTTTTGCTGCCTTCTGATAAGCAAAGTCAACGGGGAAACCAGATTCACATAACAACTGTGTTACTAATTTAACAACTGCAGAGATTCAGTTAACAAATGTGACAAGAATAATTGTAAAATGGGGCAAAACTCAGTTAACAAATTCCTCACTTAGCAACATAAAATGCTGGGCTCAATTGTGGATGTTGGTTGAAGTCTACCTGTACAATATATTCCCTTGGGGGATAATGGAACAGAACTTTCCCCCCAGCTCTCTGTCGGGCAGCCAATCAATCCATTCAGATCTTGCAAAACCTCTCCAAAATCATTCACCAGAGAAACATACGCAAGTTCTTTATTGATTTGTACTACTGTGAGATGCACATTCCTCAAGGCACAAGTTGCCAAGTTGCTTCTATTGCTATCCTGCATTCCTGTTCAACTACATTGCTCCTATGCAGGATGCCCCAGGTGGAGGATTCCAGGTAGTACAGGTAGTCCTCAACTTAACAACCACAATTGAGCCCACAATTTAAGTGGTTCATTTGCTAGGTCAGTTTTTGCCCCATTTTACCACCTTTCTTGCCGCAGTTGTTAAGCGAGCCGTTGCAACTGTCAAGATAGCAAGACAGTTAAGTGACACCGGCTTCCACTCTCCCCCTTCCCTTGTTTGGAAGGTTGCAAAAGATAAACCACCTGATTCCAAGACGCTGCAACCATCGTAAATATGAGCTAGATGGCATGCATCAGAATTTTGATCCTGTGACTGCAGAAAAAGGCTGCAAACGGTTGTAAGTGTGGGAAATGGTCCTAAGTAAACTCAAGGTAAACCGCTCCGAACTCGACTGCAGAAAATACAACTTCAATGGCTGGAATGCTCTGTTGTTGCATCCTCAAACCTCCATAATTTCAACCTAAGACTCTCTACCTGACCCCGTTCCTAAGACGTCCGTAAGGGGCCTGCATAGAGTGCAGTACTGCAGGCCACTTCAGCTGACTGTTATCTGCAGTTCAGCGGTTCTAATCTCACCGGCTCAAGGTTGACTCAGCCTTCCATCCTNAAACTGTAGGGAGCCGTCCGGTCAGTGGCTAGGACAGTGTTTCTCAACCTTGGCGACTTTAAGTCCTGTGGACTTCAACTCCCAGAATCCCCCAGTCAGCTGATTCTGGGAGTTGAAGTCCACAGGACTTAAAGTCGCCAAGGTTGAGAAACACTGCGCTAGGAGTTCAGACTGATTCAGAGGCACAAGAAAAGAAAAAGAGAGATAAAACACTTGTTTATATTATCTCTACTCGGTTTCCCTCCTGTTGTCTTCCCCGGTGTGTTTTTTGCTACTAATAAGGCAGAGATAGTTGTGATGGGACTTCATTTTAGCATCTCTTCTCCAATGCAGATTTCTGGGGGGAAATATTTTTCAAATATTTTTGGGTGGATTAGTAATACCTTGAATGTCAATTCCTTATTTTTGTTCCTTGTGTAATTTCTTAATGTTTGAGAATCATAAAGAGAAATCGGTTTTCCTGGAAGGCTGGTTTGTTTGCGTATTCCCCTATTGAACTGTATCAATTTCATTTTAGTTACTCAAAAGTAATAATTTCATTTATTTGGTTCTTTTTTTTTTCTCGGTTCCCCTTCCATTTTCTAGCGTAAGTATCATCCGTCTCAAAGACCGAATTCAACCTTTGCATCAAAAACGATTGTGTCATTCTGGCTCAAAGAAATGAGTTTTGGTATTATTTTTTAATCAGCCCAGCTTTACACTGATTTCTCTGAGCATCTTTCAAGAGTCATCACTTTCCTTTTTCTTTTTTGGACCTCCCAAATTTTATTTTTATCATGCCCATACAAGGACCCTGGTTCTACATTGCAGAGACAGGTATATATTGATGGGCTAGCAACCTTTCAATTAATCTTTTCCATCACTATCATATTTCTAATTGAAGAACACCTGGTCAGTTTCTGGGGAATAAAAAAAAATATTCCCAAAGCACAGTGTGAAAGTGGGGTGTGTACAAAAACAGAAAACATACCTTAGAAAATTAAATTCCCCAGCCTATTTGTAAAAAAAGAGAGCAAATCATGTACACATCACTTGTTTTCTTTGGCTTTCAAAGTACTACTGCAATCTTATTTGAAAGTTCAAGGGAAACATTCTCAAAAAGCAAATTCCATTTGTGAAAAGTTTAGGCACCCCTAATAAAATTGTATGCTTCAAGAAATCCCTAATGAATACCTGGTGACACAGCTATATCATACAGAATGAAACATGGTATCTTTCTGCAAATCAGCATCTAGGCGTAATCATTTATATAGCTGACTACACAGTAAAAAAATACCATATTTTTCAGAGTATAAGACCCACCGGAGTATAAGACGCACCAAGATTTTGAAGAGGCAAATTTAAAAANCCTATGAAGCGGTATATAAGTCTACTGCTATTGCTATTAACTAAGGCCAAAGCTGCCCCCTTCTTCAAAAGCCATCAAGATTGGCTGGGGGGGGGGGGGCTGTCATGTTAAATGCACCAAATCTATATTTCAATTGTTCATCTATGATTTAACAACACATAATGTAACAAACACCTGAAAGCAAAATATATTTGCGTCAGAATTTTGTGAGTGCAAACATATCTAAGGCAGATGCTTGGAGAGCTGGATTGACTTGTAATTCCTTTTCAAATTAACGCTAAGTTTTGCCCTTAGGTTTCTCCCATATAAACTGCCCCTAGGTGACTTCCAACCTGTTTTCTTAATTTTCAGGTTGCAGAGGAGCACAGGTTGAGGAGATATGGAGTTTGGAGCCCGAGAACTTTGAAAAATTAAAGTAAGTATGTTGCTGGTAGTTATCTACCTTATGTTCCTTGCTGTATAAATTAAGTTCTATGTTTTCCCCCCCCCCAACTGATAAAGGAGATTTGCTCAAACTTTATGATGTGTTTTTTGCATGATGAGGTTTTTTTTAACCTGTTTTTCTTCTCTATTTTTAAATTTTTTACTCTTTTAGATATGTATTGCTGTAAGCCGCCTGGAGTCCTTTGGGATTGGGAGGCATATAAATTCATTAAATTTACAATTTTAGTCAAGCAATTCACATTATTGGAAAAAGAAGTGAAGATAGCTTTTAGATTCTAGCCCTGTATAGTTACTTTTGGGAGTGCATAGTTACATTGTGAGTCCTAATGGGGAGGGGAGATTGAATGCTCCCAGAGATCTGTGAAGTTATTTGCTGTGCCTGTTGCAAAGTGTAGGTATGCATTTCATAGAACACAGCATACAATATTAACTGAAAGTATGATTCCTCCAAACATTTTTAGAAGGCATAGTATTGTTTTCCTCTCCACCTGCTAGTAAGTTTTCTATGCTTTAAATACAATAAATATGCATTTAGCTTTATTTCCTGGTCAGTATATATGTTTCAGTTTTCAATATATTTTGTGTTTTTCTTTTATCTGTAGGCCAGTTCATGGACTGATATTTTTGTTCAAATGGCAACCGGGTGAAGAACCAGCTGGTTCCGTTGTTCAGGATTCTAGATTAGATACATTATTTTTTGCTAAACAGGTATGGTAAATTGGAAAACTCTTGTGTATCTGGGACAGTTTCTTTTTAAGTAAAAAAAAAATTATCTTCTGAAATATTGTGATGAAATATTGTATTTCATCACAATAATTCTGAGATACTGTAAATGAAAGGGAAACATGGCCAGACAGGTTCTGTGAAGTGCAGAAAAAAATCATTTTAGCATAGAACTAGAAATGCATGTCGCATTTTTATTTTTAACATTTAAACAAAAATGTTAATTTATAAATAATGTGAATGCATAATTGTAGTGTTACTAAAGGTATGCCTGTATGTTCCGATTCTAATCATGGAAAATGCTTCACGATCTACAAAGCTGTGTGTTCTCTGCTAGCAGGAAGTTTCTGAATTAATAAGTATATAGTTTGCCTTTTTTAAGCAAATTTATGGATGACATTTTTAAAATTATGGAATTGACCATATACATGCAGTCCTTGACTTACGATCACAACTGAGTCCAAAATTTATGTTGTTAAGCAAAACACTTAAGTGAATTTCGCCCCATTTTACAACTTTCCATGCCACAGTTGTTAAGTTAGTAAACAAGGTTCTTAAATGAATTTACCTTCCCAATTGACTTTGCTTGTCAGAAGATCACAAAAGATGATCATGTGACTCAGGGACACTGCAAATAAGATTCAGTTGCCGAGCATTTGGATTTTAATTATGTTGCCATGAAAATATTACAACGATAAGTGTGAAAACCAGTCATGTCACTTTTTCTTTCAGTGCCGTTGTAACTGATGGATCACTAAGTGAAGTGTTGTAAGTCAAGGACTACCTATATATTGCCTCAATATGATGAAATTGGACTTTGTTTTTTATTTGTTTTTCATTTTGATTCAGGATTCTAATATCTTTAAAATGGAACGAAATGTGTTCGACTCGATTTGATGTGTTAAGGTAGCAAGCAGAGTGCAGTAAAATCTAACTCCAGGGGTAGAATGTATTTTGGGATGTCCGTTTCCCATGAAGGAGGATGTCACCTGTGTAGCATTTAAGGAGGAACAAGGCAGAATAGGACAAGGTGACTTCTGGTGTGCTTAGGAGCAGACTGAATTGTGACATTGCAATTAATTACCACGACTTTAGGAACAGAGCACTGCTTTCCTTCCCTGTTACCTTTCAAACCCAAATCTGCTAACTACTTAGTGTGAGGTAATAGCAGAATTACAATTCTCTCTGCTTAAATTTGTGGTGATAATACTGTATGTTAACCTAATCACATGAGAATATACCGTTAAGTCAGTTTAACTTGGATAGAAAATTGAGAAACGAAAGTTTTACTTAGGTAATTTAAGAACTTGTGATGCACTAAAACATAATCTAACATTTGATTTCATAAAATAAGATTATTTTCATTATAAACTAATTATTGTTTAGATAAATCTTAATTCCTAGATTTTCTTATGTTTTTTCTGTTTTTCTTTTCTATCCTTTGAAGGAACATTTCCAAATACAGAACTCTTTAGCTGTCAATCGTTACTATTTCTTAAGAAAATATGTGTATAGTTATCAGACAAGTTATTAACAAAGAATAGACTGGTTATTAATTCCCAGCAAATTAAATGGCTCATGCAACCATTGGTCCATTTAATAATGCAAACCAAAATAATAACATTATGACAACCACAAGCAACTGGTGTTGTTAATCTATTTAGGGTGAATTACAGGAATGGATGAACATGTGTAAGTTGTTTCCATAAAAAGCGCTGAGGCATCAGGTATATTTGACATTTGCAAACATAGACCCATAAAAACAGTTTTGAAGTTTAAAGGGGATTGCAGTAAGTAAAGTTAGTGATTTCTACAATTTGCACAAATTAAATTATTTGTTATACTCTTTACAGGTAATAAATAATGCTTGTGCAACTCAAGCAATAGTAAGTGTTTTGTTGAACTGCACCCATCAAGATATCCACTTAGGAGAAACACTGTCTGAGTTCAAGGAATTCTCTCAAAGCTTTGATGCAGCGGTATGTGTAAAAATCATATTTGAGAAAATATCTTGAAGATGAGCGATATAGGTCGTCCTCAGTTTATGATCAGAATTTGGATCAGAATTTCCATTCTAAGCAAACTAATTCTTATGTGGGCCGTGCCTTATTTTACAACCTTTTTAAAATCATGGTTGCTAAACTAACCACTTGAGTTGTTAAATTAATCATGCAGTCATTCAGTGATTTCTGCTTCTCCACTGCTTGTCAAAATGGTTGGTAAATGTCAGAAATGGCCATTACGTTACCCTAGAAACGACATCTACCAAGAATACATGCTGTTTGCCAAATGGCCTGGATTTTGATCATAGCCCATGGATGGGGATGCTGTGACTGTTGTAACTATGAGAACCAGTTGCAAAAACCAGCACCTTTTTTTCTTTGGTGCTGTTGTAACTTTGAATGCTTGCTAAATGAATGATTGTAAGTCAAGTACTAATGTAATTAACAATCTTTCTTTTTCCTTTCAGATGAAAGGCTTAGCATTAAGTAACTCAGAAGTGATACGGCAAGTTCATAACAGTTTTGCTAGGTAAGAAGATGTTGAAATGTTTCCCAAGTAAAATCTGTTTAAAAATCTGTTTTTCCATTCATTCATGCGTTGAACTTCTCTTGCAGACAACAGATGTTTGAATTTGATGCAAAGTCAACCGCAAAAGAAGAAGATGCCTTTCACTTTGTCAGCTATGTTCCTGTCAATGGTCGATTATATGAATTGGATGGTTTGAGGGAAGGTCCAATAGACCTAGGTAATATTTTCATTTCACCTCTGTAGTTGTCAGCTCTTTTAACCTGAGATTTTTTTTAACTACAGCGTGACCTTCTGAATGTATGAGTGGCGCTCTCGCCTCACGATCAGGAGGCTGTGAGTTCAATCCTACATAGAGGCAGTTATTTCTCTCTCTGGGTACATCGGCAATAACTCTGCATTGGCGACAGGAAGGACATCCGGCCAGTAAACCCTCCCGTTCCATTCACTTGCCCAGACTCCACCTGCAAGGGATTTATGGGGTCATTAAAAGAAGATGATGACATTCTGAATGGATTAATGGGGAAGGGAAGCTAATGGAAATACTTGGAATTTTTTAAGAGCAGGTTACAGATACAGCCAGAAAATGACTATCATGATAGATGATGTCAATCAAAATCAGCTCAACAAAATGTTCTTTTCCTTTCACTCTTTAGCTCAAGGGTGCTCTGTACCATCTTTTTTTTCTGAATTGGTCAGCACATTTCCCAAGAAGTGGCCTGCAAAGAACACACCATTTTATTTTTTATGGATACTTAGGTCCATAATAAAATACATCATTGTTGGAGATAGTGATGGTGGCAGAGCTTATATNTGGGGGCAATATGCTGACTCTCTGTAAACCGCTTAGAGAGGGCTGAAAGCCCTATGAAGCGGTATATAAGTCTAACTGCTATTGCTATTGCTATATCCAGTAAGATATCCTTGGAGGAGGAATCTGTGTGGAGGTCTTCAGCAAGCAGGAATATTTCTTAGCCAGAAGAATTCTGCAAAGAATAAGTGAGAAGAAAATTCAAAAGCGAGAAAAAAGGGGAATCCCATCACTTCCAGAATGTGAATCTCTCTGTTGGAGAGCAGCTTCGCTCAGGCTATTCGTGATTATTTCATGGCTAGATAATCTCTTCCACTCTCACGTCTTTTTGAAATTTTATTTTCTGCCTTGTTTCTAGGGAGCCGTTCAACTTGGTCCCTGCGGCAAGGTCAGATAGCTTGTAATCTAATTCATTTGGTTGCTGTTTTCAAATTATTCCTTTATTTTAGCTCACCTTTATATATTTTAATATTTGATTCCTAATGGAAAGTGTCACCTCTTACCTCTGTGGTCACTGTTTGAGGAACCAACCAGGTTGTTGGGATAGCAAACTTAAGTTCCGTGGTCATTTCAAGTGACAATTTTATTCATCCTTAAAGGGCTAAACAGTTGTATTTCTTTTGGAAGAAAGGCTAACTACCACTTTCAGAGAGCGAGTTCCTTAACAAACTGAATGTTTTTTCTACTTCTTGGGACATTTAAGCTTTCAAACCAAATCCATCTCTCTTGTCAGCCACATATAAATGTTGAGCTTAATCTTAAAAACCGAAGATTAAGTACATAATTTAAACTACAGTATAGTAAAAAAAAAAAATTGCATGCATATCTTGATTGCAAGACTGAGGATACTTTTGTTATCACTGATAATTTTTAACTAAGGATTAAGAAGATAAGGTTGAAGATTAGCTATCTCTCTTATTACAACTATTAGCTATAATCTCCCCTCCCCTTCCCTGTATCTCCACCACCCCCGTCCCATTCCTGAAACAATCTACTGCTTTTATCCAGAAAAATTGCCTCACAAAAGTCATTCTGTAACGGAACCGAATGCTGATTTCTTGTCATGTTTCTTCTGTGCTTACAGATTGAAAACATCAGAAGAAAACACAACTACCTTCCGTTTATCATGGAGTTGCTAAAAACGTTAGCGGAACATCAGCAGTTGATTCCACTAGTAGAAAAGGTAAATGTTGTCTTATGAGTAGAATCCTACCTGATTTTTAGTGTGCTCCTAATACAAGCCCTACCCTCCCCCAAAAAATAAGCCCTAGTTAAGGTCCTCGTCAATGGGGGCATGGCTGGCACCGGAGGGCATGGGGGGCCAGTGGTGTCCGGCAGCAGCCACAGCCCTGCACAGCACAGGTGACTTGATCACCTTTCCAAGCAGCAGGCAGAAGTAGGAGGAAGGAAGACGATCCCGACAGGTCGTGGGAATGTTGAGAGATGCGAAGATCAGCCTCCTGCAAGCAGAAGTGGGGAGGGAAATAAGACATCCCCAAAAATAAGCCCCAGTGCTTATTNGTTAACGTTAATTCAACAAAATCGTTGAACATGATCCAGTGATACCAGGTTTTCAAAATCTGGTAGTCATTTATCAAGAACCTTAGTAACTAATAACATAGTAAACTCAGTAAAATTTAGTAACTACTTCACTGTTCAGTAAATTCTTAATGTGATGGATAGGCTTGATGAAGTGATACCAGTTTCCCAATGTCTTCAACTCCCAGAATTCCCCAGCCAGGGACTACTGCCTGGGGAATTCTGGGAGTTGAAGTCCAGACATCTTCAAGTTGCCAAGGTTGAGAGACACTGCTCTAAAAGCATCAGAACTGTTTTCCTCTCTTCTCCTATTACGGTATCAGAGGAGCCTTTTCGGTGGCATTAACTCCTGGCTCTAGTTTCCAGTAATTTGGGGTGATGGTTTGGCTTAAAAGACACTTAAAAAGAGCAGCCAGTTTCCTACCAGTTTGTCCCTGGAGTTCATGCAAAACTTGCTTCGTCGTCGCCCACGTCAAAATTCCGTTTGGTCATTGCCCTGCTGCCCCCTTCCCACCCAAGGAACACCACCTACCACCCCCTTTTTTGTGTTGCTGGAGGATTTTAGTTACCACACGCACATATGGGGATCCCCGGTCCTGGAATCGTCCTTCATGTGCCCACAGAAAAGAGGGTTCTCTGCCTGCGTAATGTGATACTGCCGTCCTTGGTGCACAGTGCATGGATCAGCGGAGCGTGCATCGACTGACTGGCTACCCCGAGTAATACACGGTATGCAAGAGGCCAGAAGCAACCATTCGACGGGACGGGGAGGGGAGAGGACGGGAGTGGCCCATGTATGCGGCGGGCCCAGGGAGCATGCACGTTTCGAGGCGTGGCACTCAGTCTGGAGAGGAGGGAGGAAAAAAGCCTGAGTGGCGTGTGCCTAGCCGCCACGTAGGAGCAGCTTGGTGTCTTCCGATTTAGTGGTTTCGACTCCCTCCCCTCCTCTGCTCGGTTGCGCGCTCTCTGTATGTTTTTCCTCTTTCTCTCTCTCTCTTTTGCTGGGTGGTGGTTGAGGATGCTGGTAGTTAGGATTGATTCTGCTTTTTCTTAAGTTGCTGCGGCGGACAGCAACTGTTCTGCCCCGGGCAGTGAGGTTCTGCTTGGGCAGCCAGTTAACTCCACGCTTAGGAATATCTTTCAGACCATGTTTATTATAAGGCATCCTTAATAGCAAAACTCACAGTTCAGTGTTAAGATTCTTCTGACT